CCAAGGCAAGGTCAGGCAAGCATGTGTTAGGCTGTTATGGCTGCCGAAATGGGGAGCTGGTCCCCCTTCAATGGCAAGTTACTTAACACCTCTATGCCCCAGATTACTCACAGAAGGAGAAAATACTGATTGCTGTAGTTGGGATACTGAATGTCCTCCCAAAGCCTGTGGCACTACTGGGAGGTGGCAGAGACTTTAGGAGGTAAGGCCTGGGGGAAGGAAGTCACATCACTGAGGACATGCCCTTGAAGGGGACATGTATGCTGACATCTTCCTCTCTCTCCTTCTCAGTCACAAAGAGATGAGTGGCTTTGCTACAGGCCCAAACCTGTGCAAGGCCAAGCAACTGTAGCCTGAAACTGAGAGTCAGACATCTTCCTTGCTTTCAGTTGACTGACTCAGGTATTTTTTTTTTTGAAGATTTATTAATTATGTATAAAGAATTCTGCATTTATATATGCCTAGACACCAGAAGAGGGCACCAGATCTCATAACGAATGGTTGTGAGCCACCATGTGGTTGCTGGGACTTTAACTCAGGACCTCTGGAAGAGCAGTCAGTGCTCTTAACCTCTGAGCCATCTCTCCAGCCCTGCCTCAGGTATTTTGTCACTTAACACTAATGCTGCCTTTTCTGGTTGTAAAGGTCAAATGTGTGAGAGTCAGAATAATGCTAAACATGACTGATAATTTGAGACTTATTTTTCATATATTCTCCCTCTCAAAGAACACCCCCCCAAGAAGATTAAAGAGCACCTCAATTCACCACACCAGGGATCAGCAAATTACAGTGCATGGCCAACCGGGCCATTCATACAACCATGGCCTAAGAAAGGCTTTTATGTCTTATGTCCATTTGTGCTTTGTTTTTTCAGACAGGATCTCATGTAGGCCCATCTGGGCTCAAACTCACTATGTAGTCCCGAATGACCTTGAACTTTTGGGGGGTGGAAGTACATAGTTGTGCACACAGGTGCATGTTGGAGGTCAAAGGTTATCAGACTTTTCACATGCTTGTTGCAAGTTCTAAATTCATGCTTGAGCAGCAAGCATTTTACAGGACTGAGCCAGTTCCTAGCCCTGACCTTGAACTTCTGATCTGCCGTCTAAGTACTGAGATTAGAGACATGTATCACACAAGACCAATTTATGTGCTTCCAGGTATGGAACCCAAGCCTCATTCCACCTACGCAAGCATTCTACCCGAGCCTCATCACCAATGTGGTTTCACACTTTTACATAATTGAGGAGGGAAATCCAAGAAGAAAAGTATTTTCTGACCGGCAAGGTCTATGAAATTCCAACTTCACATTCCACAACAGCTTAACTGGAGCGCAGCCATGTCCATTCATACATATGCTATATGGAACTGCTTTGGTGCTCTGTCAGTCGAGTTTAGTATTTACAAGAGATTGAAGACCCTTCAACTCAAAAACATTAACCCTGTCCCTTTCCACCATTTGCTGACCCCAGCTCTTGACAGTCCTCTTTGGAGTCCCTCCTGCTGGCCTCACGGCTCCCTGGCCCCCTGCTGACTGACCGCAGGAAACCTCCCTCAGAAAACACTGTTTTTTCCCTTTGGCGTCTTCCTCTCCAGTATGAGGACTGTAATGGACCCGGGGTTCTTTGTGGCATGAGCACTTAGTGAGATACAGAGAAAAGAGGAAGGAAGGGAAGGGGGAGGAAAGTGGAGAGAGGACAAAAGAGGGATTTTCAAGTGTAACTTCTAAGAAAGATAATGATAGAACGCTCATAAATTTAGCTATTCTAAGAATGCATGTTTCAATTCTGGTCATGTTTTTTAACAACAGCACAGTTAGTTTTACTATTTATAAAGAAGACATAAGGATGTGTATTCATAAATAGATAAAGTGAACCATAGCTTTTCTAAAGTGAGATTCAATAGCTACCTAAATTTAACATCTTCCCATTTACACTGTAGGATTAGTTCAGTTCTTGTGGGAAATAAAAAAGTTCTATTTTAAGTCCTCAACATTAAGGTTTTGGGTTTGGTTTTTTTTTTGTTTGTTTGTTTTGTTTTGTTTTGTTTTTTTAAGGTTTTTTTCTTTTTTGAGATAAGGTCTCACAATGCGGCCTAGGCTAGATTCAAATTCTCCAGCCTTACTCACCCTCCCACAAGTTGGGATCAGAGATAAGTGACAGCACATATGATTCCAAATGACCCCTTTCACTTTTTGAGGCATGGGACTTTATGCACATGAGGCAAGTACTCCACCACTGAGTACCCCATCAGCCCCAAGAGACTCCCATGTAACACATAGTCAATGACACCATCTTTTGATTCTACCAATAATAAAATCTCCTTTCAGCTATATACCTTAGCAGCTTGCCTCACTTCCCATAGATCAGTAACGAGGCTTTTGCAGTGCAAAGGCTAACTAACTAGAGAACAAAGAAAGCCCTGCGCTAAAGCTCTTCCAATTGGCATGACCATTTTGTGCCACACACCCCCGCCTCCCAGAAGACCACACTTTCTTGTGCTTTATATTACCATTTGCTTATTTTTATTTTGTAAGTGTTTACCTACATGTCTGGTACTCTTGGAGGCCAGAGGGCATTTGCCCAGGACTGGAGTTAAGATGGTTGTAAGTCCCTGTGTGGCAGCCTGGAATCAAACCCAGGTCTTCTGTAATAGTAGCAGGAGCTCTTTACAGCTGAGCCATATCTCTAGTCCCAGCATGTCTTATATTTTATAAAGTAGGGTTTACTGGAAAGACATTAAATCCCAAGGCATTTTCACTTTTATGCTATCCTATCACCCTCATAGGACAACCAGAAGAAAATTCAGAGAGTTGTTCCAAATTCTGCAACCATTAAGTAATATGACAAAGACTTGACCTACATCTCTGGCCTCAAGTCCAAAAAGCTTCCTGAATAATTTTGGTGGTTAGCAGCTCAGGTTAAAGAGGGTGCTGGTTTGTTTTGTCGACCTGACAACAAACCTATATAGATAAATCTGGAAAGAGGCAATCTCAAGGAATTGTTTCCGTCAGATTGGCTGGCACCATGTCTACGGGGCACTGTCTTGATGTGATGTGGGAGGGCTCTGCCCACTCTGGGTGGTGCCACCCTTGGGTAGGTGGTTCTGGGTTATATAAGACATATGACAGTAAGCAATGTTTCTTCCCTCCTGCCTCTGTCCCTTCATGAGCTCCTGCTCTGGCTTCTCTCGATGATGAGTCCATCATTGGTCAGATGTATAAGCCAAATAAACCCTGTCCTCCCCCAAGATGCTAGCTTTGGTCACCGTGTTTATCACGACAATGGAAAGCAAGCCAGGAGAGAGAGAAGGGGGCTTTGACTCTGCAGAATGAACCTGGTGCAAGTTTGTCATTCTCTGACCAGGAAACTTCAGGCCATAACAAAAGCTATTTCACTGGTTGAAGTGATGCCATGACGTGTACAAGATGATTTCCAACGAGTACTCAGGCCTAGGTTGTGCTTCATTATTCAAGACTGATGGAAATGGGCCAGCAAAGACAAAGGGTTCACAGTGGCAGGGCATGGTATCCCTGATAACAGAGACCAGGAAGAGGAAAGTAGTCCAGGGATCGTGAGCGCTGAAGATTGGGCTCAGACAGAGGTCATCTGTCATTCTAGAGACTGTATCCTGCAAGATAAGATTACTAGACTAGCCATCACTTGAGTGTGGGTTACTGAGGGAGGGCACGAGGCTGAGGACAGGGCTCTGAGATCAGTCCCCACTTGGACTGCAGCATGGGATGTCTACACGAGGGTAAGATGAGCCAGAGGCATGATGCATTTCCCAGAAACAAGTAAGAGACTAGGGGGGATACTATAGTTTAACTATGGCATGTGTCCCCAAAGGGGGTCATATGTTAGAAGCTTGATGTCAAGTGTGGCAATACTGAGGTGGTGGGCTAGGCGTGGTGGCACAATCCCAGACTCCAGCACTCAAGGAGCTGAGACAGGAAGATCATAAGATAAATGGTGTTTTTTGTTTACTTTTCTAAATTTTAACTTTTTGAGAATTTTAAACATGAGCACACCATATTTATATCACTTCCACTCCTTCCTCTCTTCCTCCAACATTTTCCTTTGGAGTGAGCATTCATAGTGAAACCCTCTCAGAAAAAAAGGGGGGAAGGAAGGACGAAAGAAAGAAAGGAAGAAAGAAAGAGAATGTGAGAAAAAGGAAAAAAGAAAAAGAAAGTGAGAGAGAGAGAGAATAAGAAAGAAAGAGAGAGAGAGAGAGAAAGAAAGAAAGAGAGAAAGAAAGAAAAAGACCAAGGCCCCAGTACTCAGGAGGCAGAAGCAGGAGAAACTTTCACGGGTCCAAGAAGATCCTGGTTTACACAGTGAGTCTCAGCCCACCCAGGGCTATACAATGAAAGCCTGTCTCAAATACAGAGACTGGCAAGGTGGCACCAAGGTAAAAACACTGACCCCAAAGTCGTAGACTGAGTTGCACTCTCATGGGAGAAGGAAAGAACCAACTCCTACTCACTGCCCTCTGACCTCCATGTTTGCAAATGCTCACACACATATGCAAATAACTGTAAAAAATTTTTAATAGAGGTGGACCTAAATTTTAATAGAGGTAGACCTAACTTTAGTTAGGTCACTGGTATTAAGGTAGTTCTTCCAAGTGTGGACTATTGGGCTAGAGGTGTCACTCAGAGTTAGGTCCCCAGCACCACAAGAAAGAAAACTAACTTGAAAGCTTGCCAGCTCTTCTTTAGGTGGACATGGTGGTGCACACACTTGTAATCTCAGCATTCCGGAGGTGAAGAAAATAGATAAAAGGGAAAAAAAGGATTGTTATAAAGAGTGAGCCTACCATTTCTGGCCCCCTCTTTTACTACATTTTCTGGTCCATTCCCTTCCTGATTCCATCTACCATTATGACCTCACAAAAGGACAAACCAAAAGGACTCCTGTTCTTCAGTCTCCAAAACTGGAAGCTAAATAAATCTTTTGCTATCCCTAACCTTGGGTGTAACAGTAATACAATGGAAAATGACAGCTATATCATCTAGTAACTCGGGTTCAAAGGTCAGTGGGTTTGGTGGGATGAAGAGACAACACTTCCCACTGAATCATGAAGCATGCTCCTCATCTGACACCACCTCTTTGGCACATAGAGAAATCGAGAAAAAGAAACAAGAGTTTGGTCATGAGTCTAAGACATTGCTCACTGTGGGAAAGGTAAGTAAACAAATACTGTACCTAACTATGTAAAAGTCGTTGCAGCTGAGATCTAGTGCATGTCTAATAGGCAGAGTATTGCTCTAGAGATGGTACAGCTTGCCAGGCCTTAACCTTCAACAAGGCTTCTGATCCACAGGGCCTTCAAGTTAGAGGAAACACAGAAGCAGAGGCCAAGAGGTATGATGGTACCACAAACCCCACAGAGGAATGAGTGTAACAAAAATAAAGTCTGTTGTGCGATTGAGAGCCAGAAAAGCAGACTAAGGATTATGGAAAGTCACAGATGCCAAACCAAAGCATTCCTAGTTCTTTGTAGGAGATAGTCACTGACAGCTTTTGAAAATGAGTGACCCATGGTTAAATCTGTGCTTTAAAACATGATGGAGGGGCCAGGCGTTGGTGGCGCACGCCTTTAATCCCAGCACCCGGGAGGTAAAGGCAGGCGGATCTCTGTGAGTTTGAGACCAGCCTGGTCTAGGAGCGAGTGCCAGGACAGGCTTCAAAGCCACAGAGAAACCCTGTCTAAAATAAACAAACAAACAAACAAAAAACCCATGATGGAGTGTCAAATTCAAAAGGGGCAGCAGGATGCCAGAACCACGGCAGCCCAGGCACAGACAATCCAACCCAGAACAAGCAGCGATCTTAGAGAGAGGAGGGACATCAGGCAGGAGACAGGTTTGGCAGGGTGTAATACAAGGTACATTTGAGGCTTACTGGGAGTGTGTAGTGACACATGGAGACCGGAGCCTCAGAGGTGAGGTGGGGGTTGGACAACGACAAGTTGTATAGTTGAGTATTCTTTAGCGGTTTCTTTTCTTGTGTCTGTAGTTTCATTTTGCACTGAGCTATTCAGATAATGGAGTAAGCCCTGTGTAAGTATTGCCTCCCTCACTGTCTGTCTTAGTCACTGTTTTATTGCTGTGAAGAGACACAATCACAAACTTATGGAAGAAAGTGTTTAATTGGGGGCTGGCTTACAGTTTCAGAGGATGAGTCCATGACCTGACGTCATGGTGGGGAACATGGCAGCAGGCAGGCAGGCCTGGTGCTGGGGCAGTAGCTGAGAGCTTATGTCTTATCCACAAGTTGGAGGCAGAGGAGGGAGGGCTGGGTCTGTTGTGCACTTTTAAAACCTCAAAACCCCACCGCCCAGTGACATACATCCTCCAGCAAGGCCACACCTCTTAATCCTTCCCAAAATAGCTTCACCAACTAGGGACCTATCATTCGGCTGCCTCTGCCTACTGAGTGCTAAGATTAAAGGCATGTGCCACCACCAATCCCCAGGCTTAAGGATTTATTTTCATTATTTTATGTGTATGTCTTAGTTAGGGTTCCTATTGCTGTGAAGAGATACCATGACCATGGCAACTCTTACAATGGAAAACATTTAATTGGGTGGGTTACATTTTGAGAGGATTAGTCTGTTATCATCATGGTGTGACATAGTGGCGTGCAGGCAGACATGGTGCTGAAGAAGTAGCCAAGTGTCCTTCATCTTGACTTGCAGGCAACAGGAAGTAGTCTGTCTCACTTGGCGTGGCTTGAGCATATATAAGTCTGAATTCAAGACCCGCCTTCACAGTGACACACTTCCTCCACGACTCCGCCTACTCCAACAAAGCCACATCTTCCATTAATGTCATTTCCTTTGGACTTATGGGGTCAATGTATTCAAACTACCACAGTCTAAGAGGTTTTTGTTAGTTTGCTTGCTTTTTGTTTTGTCTACACGTATGTTTGTGCACTATATACCTGCCTGGTGCTTGTGGGGGTCAGAAGGCGGCACTGGGTCCTCTGGGATTGGAAGAACTGGTTGTGTGAACTGCCGAGTAGCCAAACCGGGGTAACCGCCAAGTCTCTGCACCTATCACTTTTAATTGTGGCCTATTTCGTTTCATTCCATACCCTTCCGCTTTGCTCTGTTCCCCCTCCCGCCTCCAACACTTAAATTCAAGAACCTTGCCCCATATTGGGTGCTGAATTCCCATGGCAAGCAAGGAGTCGGGTACTTGGCAAATATACAAAAACCTTTAGTGAATAAAATGGAGTGGTAAGAATTATAAAAAAAGAAAGAAAGAAAGAAAGAAAGAAAGAAAGAAAAAGAAAGAGAGAGAGAGAGAGAGAAAAAAAGAGGACGAACTCTCAGGGTCGGAAGAGAACTGTACCTCCTTCTTTAGCTAATCCCACCCAGACTATAAGAACCCTGCCCACTTTCCTCTCCTCCGGGTTGTACCAGACTACTTTTTACAGACGTTTCTTCTGTTATTGGCACTCCGGCGCTCAGAGACCTTATTCTTGTTTTCCGGGAGAGGTCAAGGAGTCTCCGACAGTTTCAGGGGAGCAGTTTAACCTATGCTCTCGCTAGCCTTTCCTTCCCAAAGGGAAGCTGCGGATCTTGT